AAAATGCAATGAAGAAACAATAAAACATCTAACGAGTATCATGTAGCTGATGTAGCCAGCCTTCTGAATAAGTAATCAGAATATTTTGTCAAGTTTGACTTGCAACAGAAACGCCATCAATACTATATCTGAGGTGTTGACTCTAAAAGTTCATATTTAGATAGATTAGTTCCCGAGTCGACAATTCTAGAAATCTCAATACCGTTTGTCTTGCTGCTAAGGTACGTTCTTAAGCGTAACATTACGTGTTATATATTTTGCGAAACTAATTTTTAGGAAAATGTCTCATTTAAAATTTCGAGGTTTTTCATGTACAGTGGAATATTATCTTGTGTAACTATTCGACACAGATTATTAGGAGCAGAACCTAAAAAGTTTATTGGTAATCACGCTATTCTTAATAGAAGTTATCATCGTAATCAAAATAATCATGATAGTAGTAGTGTATACAACTAACTCTACCTATTAAATTTAAATTCATGGTTCATGAATAATATCACCGATTTTTCATGTTGAGCTTATTTGGACCAAATTTTTCCTTTTCTTTACTAAACTCTTACTAATGTATCTTATGTAAATATATCGTCTTTTATTTACAACCTTTATAATGACTTCAAATTTCTTATATTTTTTTTTTTTTTGTTCTTACAAGAATGAAAGCTGAATTTAATTTTAATGAGTATTTTGGGATATGATATAGTTTTATATTGATGTTAAATGCGAGCACATGTATGAACCATCCCGCCAGGGTAGATTCCATTTCAAAGTTCACAACTTTAACCCTCATATTAGAATTCGAATCGGGAATCAAAATTAAAGCAATTATCAAACGATCATTGGATGTTGACGACAAATAAAAGTTAACGTCGTCGCTAAAGCTCCTAAAATTAATGATTGTGCAAAGAATTCTTTCATATTTCGAACTGCTTCGGCATGAACAATTATATCATAAGTTCCTTCTTTTTTCTATTCATCTTTTAACAAAGCAGTGAGTTTTGAAACATTACTTGTAAATTGACGGACATTTTTAAGATTTTATTTAAAGTTAAAATATATATAATATTTCCAAAATCGGAAATTCATAAAATTAATCTTACCACCCTACGCCATTAATGAATGCATAGAAATACTTTATAATCTAAAATATATTGTTAATATTATTTTTGTCGGCAAAATTAGTTTCGACTCCAGGATATGTATAACCATTACATTTACTCATGGTATAACTTTGAATCATCCTCCACAAATTCTGGTCCAACATATACGGCAAATTTAGAAATTTTTTTTTTTTTACTCTTGCAATGTATCCCAAATCAATATCTTCTTGATTTGTAAAAGAAATATAAAGCTGTCTAATATAGTACCCCAACATTCAGTACGTTGCCAGTATAATGGATTATTAACTCTGCATTTTCTCCAATTTTGAAATCTTAATGGTTGAACCTTTGTCATCACATAACAATAAAATTTTTTGTTTCAAATCCATCTCTACTGGTATAATAAAAAAGCTTCAATGATAAGAGATACTTTTAGAAAAATGATTTGTCTTTATATCCGCCAGAGAAAAGTTTTCCAATATTGTTGGATAAATCTAGAATTTTATGGCGAAGAATCGTGTCATATGATATTGCCGCAGATGTACTATGTGCATCATAGAAAAGGATGCCGAAATTTAGCATTAAATCTTGGAATTCACACGCAGTTTCTGCCGCAAATCGCCCAGTTATCCCTTGATGAAAACTTTATAAAATATAATGAACACTTTTGGCTCGCGTTTTTAATCAATGATATAAGTTTAATGAAATTTTAATTTTATAATGAATTATTATTTTTTTTTTTTTAAATCCATTTTTAACATGATCAGCATAAATATTATAATATAATGGTAACGTGATTTTTTGATAAAAAAGGGGGGGAGGAATGATGCTATATTACTTAAATCAATTTTTTTAAACTTCACGTTAGCCAAAAATAGTTTTCTATAGTTTTCGGCCCCTGAAACCATAATTCTCCGCGAAGATCATTAGTGCTTAAACTGGTGAATAATAGGGGAATATTTAATTCAATTACCAAAAAAAAAAAAAAAAAAAAAACATTTGACTCCATTCCAAAATGCCCAGCGAAACCAACGAAACCATTGAAACCACCGAGGATTACGAAAGATTATTTGAAACTGGCGAAGGATATGATGTTGTAATCTATGCCGGTCAAAATGAAAACGTTAAAGAAATACGCGCGCACTCGAGTATTTTATGTTCTAGATCACAATATTTTCGCACAGCGTTCTCAAAGGAATGGGCCGAGAAAAAGGATGGAAAGTTTATCTTTAAAAAGCCTGATGTTTCTCCCTTGTTATTTGAAATCATTATCAAATACTTTTATTATGAAAAGATTGATTTGACAGCTTTAAAAGATCATGATGTATTAAACCTCCTGTTGATGGTCGATGAACTTGACGTTCAAACTTTAATTACTCGCATCAAAGAATACTTGATTCAGCAAAATCCCATGGGAACTTTTGAAGCGGTCTATCAATTTGAGCCATTCACCGAACTTTGTAACGATTGTCTCGAAAAAATTTGTCAAGAACCTGAATTAGTATTTTGTTCGGATAAATTTCTTAAATTAAAAGCATCTATCATGGAACTGCTTTTAAAGCAAGACTTAGAATTGGACGAGATTATTATCTGGGATAGTTTAATTAAATGGGGCCTGGCACAAGTACCTACTATTTCACATGATGTTGCTAAATGGAACGAGGAGGATTTCACGATCATGGAGAGGGTTCTCAATAGATTTATTCCATTAATTAGGTACTTACATATCACGCCAGAAAATTTTCTCGATAAGATCTATCCTTTTAAAAGGTTTCTACCAGATGATTTGTTGAAGAAAATCCTGACATTTCATATGATTCCAAAGAGGACATTATATGTTGATTTGTTGCCTCCAAGAAAAAAGTATGGTTCAGTTATAATTAAACCTCAACATTTTTTCTTATTTTCCAAATGGATTTATTTGAGAAGCAATTCGCTCAGAAATATTCCTTATAATTTCGAATTGCTTTATCGTGCTAGTAGGGACGGAAAGCAAACAAGGTTCTTTCATAATAAATGTGATGGCATGGGGGCTACTATTTTTGTCGCGAAAATCAAAGATTCCAATCATGTCATTGGAGGTTTTAATCCATTAGATTGGTATGAAGAAGGTTATAGATACACGTCGAAGAGTTTTATATTTTCCTTTAAAGATTATAGAGATATCAAAACGGTTAGAATAGGTAGAATAATGAATGGATGTGAAAAACATGCAATTTATTGTGATATTATGTTTGGACCATCTTTTGGGTATAGGGGTGATATCAGTTCTTGTGATTATGAATTATGGAGTTCCTGTAAGGATTCATACGGTATCATTGATATCCCAACAAAATTTGATATTGATGAGTATGAAGTATTTCAGGTCATTGAAGTTTAAGTATGTGATATTTGGTTAGACTTGTCGTGTTTTATCATTTGTAATGTCAAAATAATAAACTTGCTGAATAAATGATTTCTTCTGTAATTTGCTATACATAATTTTAAAGTTTCGACCCTTTATTTTTTTTTTTTTTTTTTTTTTTTAAAAAAAAAAAAATTTAGTTTTTTCGTTTAACAAGGAATTTTGTAACTCAAAATACTAAAAGAATCATGAGTTTATGTATTCGTTCGGGGTCCTGTCTACCTGATTCCGTTACCTTTAGGTTGTCGTTCGCGTAATTCAAGATCTCTCTTCATCCTCCAAGAAAAAAAATAACTTTCCCAGAAATTAAAAATAATGAATATCGTAATTCGGATTTTTCACTCGCAACAAGAAGGGCGCTAACTACAATAAAAGTTAATAAATTTATTGTTTGTTATGGGACAAAGTCTACAATTATTGTACAGTACAAAAAAAGCATCAATTTATAAAGGCGAATAGAACCGATTTTTAAAATCTATGATAATTTAATCACAAAACCTTACTATGCAATTTTATAATAAACTAATAAACCTTAATAAATTTTAAAGATATAATTTCCATCTGCATCATTACATGCTTTAATTCGACTTTGCATGCTAATGATGCAAGCTAACTCTTACAGCATTTGTCAAGATCCCTCTCTAATTACATTAAAAAAAAATTGTCAATAATTTTCTACGCCAATATTTTCTTAATCTTCTACTCATTTTTTTTTTTAAAAAAAAAAAAAATAGTAACATTTTCAATTGGAATGAGATCTGGATTTTAGAAGACCAAAGACCCAAGAAGGTGATTTTCAACGACATAAACCTAGTAAATTGATCTGCATCAGTAAAACGACTTTCTAATGTAACAAAGTTTGTGAATGGTGTCAAATACTAGCGTTGCTGAATGAATTAGAAATGAAAAAAATTACTTTAGACGTGGTGGAAATTGTCAAAGCGAGAAGGTTGCGAAGAAAACGAGGGATACCAATGTGGGAAAGAATTAAAAAGGATAATTTAGAAATTTTAATGAGAAAATATCCTAAATGATTCTACAGACGTTCCAAATGTGTTAAACTTGAATTAATTCTCATCTGTATGTTCTGAAATGAAATTTTGGTTGTTTTCTATACTTATATTGGAAAATGTACATATAGAAGAATATCCTTTAAAAGATATTAAGAAATTTAAAGCAGTGTTATTAGCAGTATCATATGCAATACCAAAAACAAAAAAGTACGTAAACAAATACGTAACATAATCCATTTCCAATTCTTTCAAAGGATATAGGTTTCTCAAAAAATAGGTTTTCAACTCCATTTGATAGCAAATTTTCCCGCCAAACAGGCCTTGTGGATCAATTTTAAAGTTCATATTTCGTGCGACAATCCTTACAAACAGGATTACGTATTCGCTCAGCACGTATTGTTTGATAATAGACTCTTTATTGGCTGATGATATGCTTGAATTTATATTATGTTTTCTGATAGCAAACTGCAGCTGTCACACATTCTTTCAACAAGTCCACCACTGTTCCAGACACGTATGCATCATTGAATTAATAGACCATGTAGCCCTCTTTGAACGATAAGTATCCGATTCAACAACCGTATTTTCTTCTTCTTCTCCTAAGTGATCTTTACCAACTTTAAAAGTATAAAACGCAAAGTTAATCCAAATTTGATATTCAACCTTTGGTGTACATCCCATGGACGTTATTAAGTATAAAACAATAATGTTACGCTTTGATACTGAAAAGATTCGATGGGAAAGGGTTGATCGTGTTCGAAAAGATACGGACTGACCATTGCAAATACTTGTTCATTAAAAGCCTTTTCAGATTTTTGCCTTCAAATTTATGTAACTCTATAACAAAATTTTCATTTCTAAGAACCATTGGTGTTACCCGCTGCATCAGCATAATCTTTTTCGATGCCAAGTGGAAACTCGCCATTTTCCCACCAAGAAGAATTGGAGATGCACTGCAACCTATAATTTTTATAAGGTCAATATACAAGCCTAGAAGCATCGATTGTCCCGAGATTCATACAGTTGTTAATATTCATGTAGTACCGCTAGCTTCGTGGGCACCAGATCAGTATAGGACCTTTTAACAAGGTCGTCCGCAGTTCTCAAGCACATGATTGATAATTTTTCTCCTTGCGACAGTAATACCTAGCATTGCATCTCAAACAACAAGAATTTGTGTTTTTTTTTACGCAGACTATATTGATTCCATTTTACAATATTCAAACGAAAAAAACTGAATGAGAAAAAATGATTGACGAATTTTATTTATGAGAAAATTATTATGCAGGTTACACGATTAAATCAAAAATGGGGTGCATGATCGTCATGACTACATCAAATCAAGCATTTAAATATGGTCATGCTCAAAAAAAAAAAATATAAGTAAATTGATTTTACAGATTTGTCGCGTCCTCTTTATAATATCCTGCGTTTGAATGAATTACATTAAAAGAAATAATCAAATATAAGAATATTTGTAATATCGTTACCTACAGCTAAGGCCGTTCTCGAGCGCATCCCTGGCCAGTAATTGAAGTGATGCTCAAGCGTCACGATCAATTGAAATAAATATGGTGCCCAACTTTTGTAAATTTCGTTCCGACTACTCATTTCTCTCCTTTTAACAACTTAACAAATAATTTATCCTCGTATTGTATTGCTGTTGCTAAACGTGATCCTCGAGGCCATGCAAATCGTCCTTGTTCTAAATCTAATATTGCTTCTAAAATCGATCAGTAAAATTACTTACGTATTCCAGTTTCATTTGCTAATCGTCATAATACAATGGCAATTTGTTTCCATGCAGGCGTCTAGGGTAAAGGCTTGATGGGTTTCTAAACGAGTCACAATAGTACGAAAAGTTGTAAGAGTTATACTAAAGTGACGCCTAAAAGAATTATAACCTTCTCCATCTACTAAATATGGGAAAATATCAGTCCGGAACCCTTCAATTTTAGGTCTTGGCTGACAGTTAAAAGATGATAGCCATTGGATCTTTGCATTTGAATATCTTGACGCCTTTTATTTTTTATGATGGCTTCTTGATTCTATATGTTGTGTAACATGGAAAGTGAATCTCTAATTTTTTTCCATTTTTGGTAGCCAAGAAAAAAAAAGATCCAGGTTTTTTTTGACTTAAATGATCATCACACTTTGCCTTTTTAGTCAATTATAAACCCATAGAGGGAGACGCTTGAGAACGCTGAGCAGTGTTTCAGCAGCCTCGTGACTCCAGCTTTAATTTTTTTTCCACAAAAAGTATAAATATTTGATTTTTGATTTTACCATTCATTATCTTAAGAATTCAGAAATTCTACAATGATAAATGCTTAATAGTTTTTCGAGTTTGAAATTTTTCAGTTGGAGATGAAATGAACAACAACAGTTGAAGTTGATGATGCAAATTTGTCAAGAAAAGATACAATTAAAGCTAACTACCATGCGGTCATAAATGCTTGACGATGACAAAATTAGTTCACGTTTAACGAGGATTTCTTATTAACGATCTACTTGAAGGTGTTTTTTTTAAGTAAAGAATTCAAATATGATCTTCAATCCATTTATGTATCTGAAATATCGGTACTTTACAACTTCATTATTTACAATTGATTATTCAGAAATCAAAATTTAAGAGCCTTAGGAATATGGTTATGTAGATTGATATGGAAAATCGGTACGGTATTGATCAAACGATGTCGTACCGTGCCGATTTTCCAAATACTGTATTCCTAAGTTGATTACAAAATTTAAATTGATGTTTTTGCTCGTATGAATTGCCGCACGAAACTCAACTTGCCCATGTAAACTTATTTAAGGCCGTTCTTCAAGCGCATCCCTCAATGTGATTGGCCAATGATTGAAGTGATGCTCAAGTATCACGATCAATTGAGTGATCAACGCTTGAGTAATCTCTTTCACTTCCTTGACTTTTTTATCGAGTTTTACGATGGTTCAAAAAAGAGAACTAAACCAACTTTTGTAAATTTCGTTCCGACTACTCATTTCTCTCCTTTTGACAACTTAACCAATAATTTATCCTCGTATTACTGTGATCCTCGAGGCCATATAATTCGTCCTTGTTCTAAATCTAATATTGCTTCTAAAAATTGATCAGTAAAATTACTTACAGATCCTTGGCTTATTCCGAGTGGTAATCCAGTTCCATTTGCGCCATAATATAATGGCAATTTGTTTTAATGCAGGTGTTGCATTAGAGGCGTCTAGGGTAAAGGCTTGATGGATTTCTAATCGAGTCACAATAGTACGAAAAGTTGTAAGAGTTATACTAAAGTGACGCCTAAAAGAATTATAACCTTCTCCATCTAC